TGAAAGCTTTTTTACATTGTCTTTTCAATGATGTACCTTATTCACTGACTTCTGTGGTAATCTTATCCCCCAATAATACAACAAATGATATATCGAAAGCTAATTTCTCTAGCAACACCAACCAACCTAAAGTCGTATTTTAATCAAATGGACATCGTTTCACTCAAAATTGTAGATATACTGCACTTTTGTCTGAGCATGTCACTAGTTTATCGTTGGAGTGGAAAAAAACATGAGAATACTTGTAGTATTATGAAGTATTAAAAATTACATCACAGAGTCAAGGGCTGTGAAATAATGTCCCCTCTAGTCACCGTCAGAGTCCATCTCTTCTGGAAAGGTAGGTTAGTTGTTTCTGTTTATGCATGACATAGCACAACTGCATCCAAGGGAACATCCCATGATGTTCTTGGCGCAGCTACACCTGGATGAGGGGCATCTGCCTGTTGTGCATTTACATGTGAGCAATTCTAGACACAGTGCTGGCATTCGTTTCTGGGTCATTGGGATGGGTTCTATGTCATCCTCAGTAGACGACCACCTATACTCTTCTGGTGGTGGAATGTCAGCCTTTCCTTTGTGTGCAGAACACCACGTGATGCACTGGTGCTGACATCTGAGTAGAGGTTGTGTGGTGGGAGTTCCTCTAGGTCTCCAACTCTGTGGAACATACCTAGTATGGTGACCTACCTTTGGTTATTGGTGATCTATAGCCTATTTTATTGTGTACTGTTATGAATTGTTCCAATTTGATAATGATATGCTAGTTTTAAATCTACATCTGTGATAGTCTAGTGTTTTTACTGTCCTTTGTCGACAGATTTAAATGTCTTTATTTATATAAGATTCATGTACAACTTGATTTAGTCACGATATGGCTGAAATATTGCCGATGTGACTATAAATCTTAACTCACTCACTCACTGTGGAACATGTCAGCTGTAAGTGTATTAATGCTAGTTGCAGTCGATGCTGGATTGTACACATTGACGACAAATGTTTCTGTCTTTTTCATGTTGAAGGTATACCAGTTTCTTCTGTTGGTTGCAACAAATCAGCTTGTGCGATAAATATGTTCCAGGTCGACTTCTTGCCATGATATAGGGGCGGTGTGTAACCTAGTGGTGTAAGCGTTCGCTCGCCATTTCTGGTGTCCGACGCAAGACCATTGCTGGAATATTGCTAAAAGCGGCGTAAAACCATACCCACTAACTTATGCACATTGTTAGGTCATCGATGTGAAATTGAGTTCATCAGCCTTAAAAACATTGTTTATGACATAAACGTTGATGCATACTTACTATCATACGACAGAGCAGGTCGCGTTGTTACAGGTGTCACAGATTGATTAGCACTCGGTTTGGACAACGTATTATTTTTTAAGAATTATAGCTTCTGAACCACTTCCATTTTGTACAGTGTTGAGTTACATATCGTTTAGGAAATCTGGGCTATTAAACATGATGTAATCCATGCGCAACAGCGGTCAATTGTACCATTGTCTAACACAGCGTTTCACATTATGCATATGACATTAATAGCCATAATCCAATGTCATTGTCTGTAATCACATCCTTCTCAACGCTATTGTCTCTTCGTATGTCCATTGTTGTTTACATATTTACTGCAAGTTAGGATACGCTTGCTGTACTTGACTTGAAGTAGTTGAGTTGGAATCTCCGCTCGACATATTTTTATGATAAATTGTATGTTTGTTTTATTGTCGACGTTAGGAAGTTTGGGTTTCCCCGTCAACATAAGCGTTGACACAGATAATGAAGCTATTCTAAAGAAAATCCTATACTATATATACTGAGTCAAATTAAAAACTTCACATTTTAAAAAGTAATCCCATATAACGGACAAATGTATCAGAGAAGGTAATTTTTAATCATTAATGTCCAAATAAGGATTTTAATTAACGGTGGTAACCATAATTTGTTCCAAGCAGCTACGGTATTCGGTAATAACATCAACAGTTTAAATCATAAGTCCCAAGCACGAAAATCTTATGGCACACAAGCTCAGCAGCGTGTATTGCCACCATGTGCGTTGACAACTGCCACACAACGCCTCCACATTGACCTTGTGATGCTTGTGAACACATGATTGGGAAGACGACGCCATTGTTGCTGCAAAATGGTGCCAAGATCTTGCAAATTCTGTGGTTGGTTCTGGAGAGTGCGCAGACTTCGGCCAAGAGCATCCCAGACGTGTTCGATGGGATTGAGGTCGGGAGACCTTGACGGCCAGTCCATGACGTTGACTCCCGCATTCTGAAGGAAATTCCTTGTCAAAATTGCTGTGTGGGGTCTGGCATTGTCGTGTTGGAAGATCAAACCGGGTCCATGTGCTGCCATAAATGGCAGAAGTTCTGGTGCCAGTACCTGGTCGCGGTAAGCAGCAGCGTTGAGGTTGCCACGGATGACAAGAAGCCTGGAACGTGCATTGCCACAGAAAGCACCCCACACCATGACACTTCCGCCTCGAAATCTGTCAACTTCCTGTACGTAACACTGGGCGTAACGTTCATGACGGCGCCTCCACACTCTCGCCCTACCATCAGCAAATCAAAGATTAAATCGGGATTCATCACTGAAGACGACTTGATTCCAATTCCTCTGAGTCCATCGTAAGTGTCGCTGTGCCCACAATTGACGTTGACGTCTGTGTAATTGAGTCAGAATCGGCCCGCAGTATGGCCATCGTGCTTGAAGGTGAGCAGTTATCAGACGGTTTCGAACAGTTTGCGCACTCAGTCTACCTAGACAGTTCATTTTTGGTTGATGTAGCCGTCAAAAATCGGTTACGGAGGTGACGTAAGACAATTTGACAATCCTCTGCATGTGACGTCACACGTGGTCGACCTGGCCGTGGGCGATCAGCGGTGGTACCCGTTTGCTGTAGACGCGTCTGTAAATCATAAACAGTCCGTCGACCCCAACCCATCGTCCTTGCGACTCAGCTACGGACGTTCCCGTCTGCAACATGCCGATGGCACGTTCACGTTGCACATTTGAAAGGCGTGGCATGACAAATGGCCGTAAAGACTTTTGTTTTCTTGTGTTTTTCTTTTTTTGTTAATGACTGCTAACAAGTATGGCTGAAAACACGTGCGGTATTATGGCCACGTGACACGTTACACGTGAAAAAACACTTTTGCCACTATAGTGCTGTGCACATGATTTTGATCGTTTCACCTGCACAAAAACGGGTGTTATCTGAAGACAATACGTGGCCATTACTGTTTAAGTACACAATAAGGGCCCACAATGATAACTGGTCAAAATGTTAAAATTTTAGGATTGTAAAGTTTTTAATTTGGTTCAGTATATATGTACCACTAGGAAAATTTCTGTAAAGGCATGTTAACACTCTTTTTCACTGTCTCTCACTTTAAATTGTCACTCGCTATGACATCACCCTTTAATGTAATGCGATATGGCTGAAATATTGCCCATGTGACGTTAAATAATAACTCACACACACACACTCACTTTAATGTAATGACGTAATGGATGACGACACATGCTTCTATGATAATTGAACTCACCTGGTTTACAAAATGTGAAAGTTGTTTTGATAAATATTATACAAAGTTAATGCTTAATTACCCATTGTACCCATTTCACCAAGCCAAATTGAACTTGCAAAAAATAGTTATCGTGGGTTATCATGAAAAGTATTCATACGCTGTGAAAAATTCGAAAACAATCCAGGCTTCGAATCCAAATTAACAACGTGTTTTCTACCAATCAGAATTTAGTACACACCCACACACACACACACACACACATACGCTCACACCTACACATTCATTTTACACTGTGTGATAAATCAAGTTCATATATAATTGAAAACAAAATATAATTGAATGTTAATCGACACCATCTTTTAAAAGAATGGGTGAGTGAGTGAGTATGGTTGTATGCCGCTTTTAGCAATATTCCAGCAATATCACGGCGGGGGACACCAGAAATGGGCTTCACGTATTCTACCCATGTCGGGAATCGAACCCGGTCTTCGGTGTGACGAGCGAACGCTTTAACCACGAGGCTACCCGACCGTCCCCTTTAAAAGAATGGTAAATTTTGGAAGTTAAAATAACAACTCTGGGTCTGGATAGAAAAAACCGTTGATGAAGTGTATAGTTCAATAATATAGTGAATGTATTGGGTTTTGTTCTTTTTAAGTGAAAGAACTTGAGTGTTACAGACTTTATACTTCTTACATTAATAATGCGATCAATATCTTAATGTGAGATAGCAGAACCCCTGAATCATATGTGGTATCTGTTCAACGCCGTTATGTTTCTTGCCTTTTTCCAGAAACAAATATAGGTCTACACATATCATGTAGGTTACTGGTGTACTTAAGCACCTCCATTGACCAGAGATGCCCAGTTGCCCTTCACCACTCCCTCTTCGACATGCGATCAATTATCAACATAATGACATTCAATTCATGAAGACATCTTCATGAATCGAAAGATTGTGATTTTCTTGCATGCTCAGATTTTAATTCTGTTTCAAAGTTTGGGTCCTCACAATTATGATTAGTGAGAAGTTAGTGTTTTTGCTGATCCTGCTGTGCAGATGAGGCTCATCGCGATAACCCTTCTACCAATAATTAAAAGAGAGCAATTTGCCTTACAAGACAAAGAAGCGACTCAAGACATCAATAAATTAAAAACCAATTTTCGTTTTAGGGGAGGCATGTTCCCCCGATGGCAAAATACCACCCCATTGTATAAAAAGATGAAAATTGATAATCCGCCGACACTTGAATAACTAGGCAAAGCATTTTATGGCGTGACCTTTCTTAAAAGTTATATTTGCCTGTGCATAACACGGTATTGATCTGCGATAATCGATACATCTAGACGCACATTTCATCGGTGTTCATGGGATGCTCCCACACCTGGCTCGTTCTCAACAATTTAAAGCCAGGAGGATTGAAATAAGCGATGTCTCTGTTGTCCTTTCACATTCTCCCCGTCATCACGCACGCGCAGTACCCCTGGATAGTCACGCCTCGATCTTGACTGGCATAACTTTCTAACATGTCTTCTACACGGCCACCAACTAAAAGTGAGTAAAAACTTCATATGCACTTTTTCACTATAAATGTATTTAATGTATTTGTAGTTGATTTATGAAAGAAAGAAGAGCTCAGTTTTCTTAATTATTTATATATATTTTTATAAAGAAAGAATATAGAGACACATTTAAGTTAACGTTGTTGTCATCTGATTTGTAAGTGTAATATTTCTAAATTATTAGTAGCGTGGAAACTTATTATAGTAAGGGGGCGAACAATTGATATTTTGTGTGTGGAGTGGATGTGGATTGCGGTGTATATGCTGGGATTCTGAAACAAACTGTATCCGTGACAAAATCCTTCATTGAATAAGCTCGGTTGATGTGAGTTCTTCGGAACTGTTTGGCTCCTCTCAGAGAAAAAGGGCGAATGTCTTGAAAGGAAGACAGAAACTAATTCTTTCTAACACAAAAACGCTAGTTGATTTTTCCATCACAAGAAATAAATATTTCAAACCATCGTCTCCCATGGACTTTTTTCCTAATGTCAGTACTTATTTACAGATTTTTTAAAATCAATTGGGCTATTTGATAAACCGTATTTTAAGTTGTGTACTCAGTTACAATTTTGGTGGTGTTATTTTTAATTTAATAGCTTTATCCTTAATGGGTTTAAAGTAGCGTATTGTTGCCCGGGGGGGGGGGGGGGGGGTAAATGTTAATATACCAAACTCTACTCTTTTATCTGTAGGCATCATGCTTGGGTACCATGCAGTTAAATTAAGTCTTCATGGTCCTCAGTATGATGACCTAATTTCTGCAGCTGGTGATCTGTAGCCCGTTTTTTATATTGTTTTTTTACCTATTACCTTATCGTTGTATGGTCATTTACTAGTCTTAAATACAAATCTGTGATTATCTATTTGTTTTACTGTCCACTAGTTTTATATAATCTAAATGTATTTGTTATTAATGTGTAACTAGCCACTATGTGGCTGAAGTACTGCCGGTATATTTCAATTCGCTCACTCCATTTCTACTAAATAGTGAACACAATGGACATTTTTCAAGTATATTTAAAGTTTGAGATTTGTATATAGTGTAAACCCACAGCTGAAAGTGTGATTAATTCATTGGGAGGCTGAATAGGACTTAATTAAGTTGTCGGGTCCTATGGTAGGTTATGTGTGAATCTCTTTTGTTCATTAATTTTAACATGTCTGGTCCATGTTCACATTTATTCAAACGGAAACCTCTTCTGTTTGTATTTATAAAACGTTTTCCGTAACGGGTATGTGACGAGTGACCGTCTTGTAAACGACAAGAGCATCAATCAACATATCAAGTATTTAAAGGGATTGACGAATTTTCTGAGAGTTTTCTAAAAGAATTTATGTTGTTAATAAAGGTAAATGCGTCCGTCGCCAGGGTGTTTCTCTCATGTGTTCTCAATTAATTGGTTCGTTAGACAATCGACTGCACAGGTCAGAAAGGCATGTTCCAGTACATGCTACACACGGCCATGAGGGCCCTACACAGATCAGAAGGTACTGTTAAGAACGCCATCACAACTTCACTTCAACCCAACAAACCTAAATGCCACTAAAAGAGAAAGCTTCTGTTTAAAGTGAAGGACAAAGAGGACACTAACTTGTATTGTTGCGCCCGCTCAATAAGTCCTTATACTGTAGTTAAGTTGGTTTTAAAACATCCTTGCCTCTCACAGGCATTGTTTCCTCCCATTCCGGTCGATGAAACATCTTCAAACATAAAAGCGCTTTTAGAAAGATGAATACACGATGATAAAACGTCATTGGAATAATGTCTTCCGACGTGGACGCGGGACGTGGATACAAAAATGTGTCTGAATTGTTTTATTGAAGATGACAGGTAGTTATCCTGCGGTTGGTCAGATCAAAAGATGCATAACTGTTGATACAGACCAAATTCATATAACAATCTCAGGAAAACTATGAAACAACAAGGAGTTGAAACAATATTTAGCTTACCTAACATTGGCTACTATTAAAGATCAATAACCTCACTATTGCTACGATATGCATATCACTTCCAGCTTTCTCATATGGTACTCTGCTTCTTCTACAATGATAAATATCGTCAAGTTATTAATTTATACCTTGTTTCATCCATTCATCCATTCCTTCATGAACTCAATTTTAAATCAGTCTTTACATTTCATTTGTATAACAGTGCTGTTTGTTGCTAAAGCTTATAAATTCAGCATATAATTTTTTTTTAAACATGTTCACCATGATTAATTAATTAAATTTTAACCACACAATAAACTTAAATAATGAACCCAATTAAAAATATTTCGACACGCCTTTTCTACAACTGAAACATTTAATTGTTCAGCTGCGTCTATATACTGCCATCCTTTGGAATTAGCACAGTATCAACACATACGGAAGGATGACATATTGGCGGGTAATCAGTTGTAGCTTACACTTCCTGAAAGAAAAAATCCATACACAATTCAAAGTGAACACAAGAACTGATATCAAACCTTGCAAAACAATTTTTAAAACGATAGTGGTCTTATTTCATAATGGCATTCTATACACTTTACATATTTGTATATGTCCGTCAGTCTGTGAAATTAGACATTTCTTGACATGACTAAAAGTTCTAAGTTATGCAACAGTGCGATACGGATTGCATGTTAATTAAAACTAACAAACATTTCTGCTTTTCCAATAATGTGATCGGTATATTCATTCCCAAAATAAGCAGAACTAATAATGTTATAAAATTCTGCCATTTGGTAAATAAAAGTAAAATATGTTTTTCTCTCTTTTATGGAAATAGTTTATAGTTTACAGATATAATAAGTAAGTATTGAATTCAAATTCTCCTTGTTCAAAATTATTGGGACAAGTAAGGAGTAAAATAATTTAATACTCGATAACAGTCTTGTCTACCAAATATGGTAGACAAACACATTACATCTACACAAACACATCTCTACATTTGATTCTGATATGCGTTGAATTTGTATGCACGCTATCTCAAACATATTGACAGTTAAACTTATTTTCCTATATCATTATATTTTGACTGTTGCAATTTCTACAAAATCCAAACTATTATGTTATCATACGCTAAGGCGAGTGAATTCATCAATAGAATTGATTGGAAGAGATATATTGCGATTTTGTCACAGATACACCTAATATATCTAAACTTGCAAAATGAAGTGACCCTCGAGATTAATAATGTCAACGATCGCATGATACGTGTTGAGAAAACAAGTACATGTTACCCTGTTGGTATTGGCACGTTTAGCTCTTACTGTCCAAAAGATGTGTTACTAATGGATTTGTTCTTGAAGAAAAAATTATTTTGCTGCGTTTGGGACTCCCACTTTCTATAGATTGCAATTGGAAGTACAATTGAGCGCATCTGCATCAACAAGACAATCACTAAGCAGTGAAATCACAGAACTTACAGACACATAACACTCGCTGAGCAATGAAATCACCTTCAAATATTATTTCATTTTCATTATTCAGCTACCATAGCAACAAGAGAATTCCCTAAGTTTGCACAGACTTCTTGGCATAACTGTAGTCTTCGTTTCATCGGGACACAGGTTGGGTAGGGGGATTGTGTTGCAGCAATGCCGCTTTGGACCTGACGAAGGTAGAGGATCCCCCTTTTTGTTTCCATTGTCGTAGTCGGGGTTTGCTTGAATGTGCAGATTTTGCGCATGCCGGGCCGTGTTTTTATGCTGATGTTCGTGCCTAATCTTAACTTTTTGGAACAGTTTCTAATAGCACGATTTTGGCATATTTAAAGAAAATCAGTATCTGTGACAATTTATAGATCCTAATTTGACCAATCTGTATTTTGCCCTTGAATGTTATTTTTAACTTAAACTTTGATGATTTCAAAGTTACTTTTATGGTGTTTGTTTACAAATAGTTCTCGACGCGAATAGCTGATGCGGTGTTAAGGAATAATCAATCACTCACTCACTCTGGTCATAATTGATATTTTTATGCTATCTCTAAACCCAGCTTTCGAATGATAATTCGGTGTTTATAGAATGTTAGTGTAACTCTAATGTACACGTACAAAAATATGTCCTGTAGTTGTGTGTTCAATAATATATATATGAGCAGTGTTTATTTAACAATTTACGCGCGATTGTCCGCATCATTAACGCATGTGATCCTCGTCAGCTGAGATGCTTTATCAACCCCTATCAACACGGCTCATTTGGCTAATTACCATATTGGAATCAAACGTGCACGTTAATTGAGAGCAGGTAGACCTTTCCAACCATCAAACACGCATGATCATGAGTCACGCTCCAATCGTTAGCTTCTGAGAAAGCAGGTATGGCGAATCCTCCTCTTTTCTAAGTGCTTTCATAGAAGCCCGTAAGATAGGAATCAATGAATGTGACTTATTAGTCGCATTGTAATTAACATCGAGATCGACGGGTAAGAGGAAAGTTAACAATTCGAAACGATCGACATTTCCTCAGGTGTGGGTATCCCAGGCAAGCTGCCAGCCATTAAGCCAGCTTGTGAAGCAGTCCAAGAGAACCCGTCAATAACCCTATATTTGCCTTCAAACGTTGACACGGCTTTTGTATGCGGATGTCGTTTACACGTACATAGACCGTTAATAACATATCTTTTTCGAGTCTTCTCATATGAAGCATGCGGTCTACATAATATCTTGGTTATTTCCTATCGCATTAAAATGTTGATAATCAATCTATACAGATGACAGTTCTGTTGTTCCATGGTTTTGATGCAACGTTTTCTAAATACTAATAATATCGTGCTGTGCGTGTTTATTAGCAGGCAGTAGCAGTGATATATGATATTACGATATAATTCGTAAAGATGACAAAGACCCATTTGTGTCCATATTATTTTTAAATTGGATAGGTGAACTTCTTTGTGTTCGACATCCTTCCTCATCTTTCATCGCGTAAGTGGCGACTAACGGGATCGGTCGGTCAGGCTCGGTGACTTGATGAATGTTATATCCCAAATGCGTAGATCAATACTCCT